TAACTACGTTGTGAGGACCGATGATAGTGCCAGTCCAAGAGCGCATATAGATGTCGTCCCCATCATCCATTCCATAGCTCACAGTTCCATCTCCAATACCTTTCTCCCCACGTTCAAGCTCCTCCAGCAACCGGAAATTCCTCGGAACTAAATTTGCAACAACAAGCATTCGAAACAATTCATATCATCAGTAGTGGAAACAGGGGAAAAGCCAATCACTTTGCCACTAAATTCTGCAGCAGCGAATCAAACAGTAGAATTACACAAACAAGCATCTCTCTAATCAAACCAGAGAACAGAAAAAACATCAGATTAATCATTATCCAACAAACTAATAGAATCCCCCAACAAAGATCAAGAAGAACATGAGCTCCTCCTGTATTCTAAGGTCCTGGAAGCAATCGCACACATAAATTATAAAACAAGACACAACCATAATGTTGGAAACGTTCTGCGAGAACAACCCATCTCAAGATTTGGGAAACCAACAAATCGATCTCAGCGATATGTTAGAATTTATTGACATACGAACACATATGATGATTTTAAAGACACAGAGATCAGCATAAATAACATATTAAAGAAAAATCAAATTATGGAGCAGAGCAAAATATCAAGAGAGCATTTTGATAATAGATCGATGAATACTATGAGAAAATCTCGAGACCCATCGATTCAAAAGAACAAAACCCCAATACGAAATTCCCAAAACCCTAAGGAAAAAAAACGAATAAACCCTAGAAAAAAACAAACAAGAACAGACCCGAAAGAATCGAAATTCTTTACCGACAACACTCGATCCTCCTGAGCCAAGAGTCATAATTGATCAAATTGTGACTTCGATCCGATTGATTTTGAGATCTGATTCTGAGAGAGACGACGAAGATGAGCAAAGGGAAATCAAGAGAGAATCTGGTGAAAAGACAGACAGCTAAATGTGAGGGGCAAAATTGGGTTACTTTCTTTTGGGGAGACGGAAAGAGTTTTATTTTCAACTCTAGTACCCAGAAATTTATTTTCTTTCATATAATTCCTTAAATTACAATAATTACATATTCCTCCTCCCCCCTAGATTTTTTGACTCGATTTTAACCATATCTCACTTTAAAAAAAAATAATAATAAGAACAGCGAAAAATGTTCATATATTTTTGAAAAAAAATTTGTTCTCATGCAAAGCTAAACGCAAACGCAAAACTTGGTTTTGAAAAACAGTTGAGTTCTAATTCATTTTAAACCTTCTTTTTTTTTTATATTAGCTTTATAGTAATTTTGTTTTCTATCCATTTGTTGTTATTTCAACAATATATTAGCACTAATATTTTTGAAATGTAACTTTTATTTGAAAA